TCTAGGATTCAAATCCATAAAAGGGCAGTTATTTCCCTACAAAACTGTTTACGGCTCCCAGGTTGACCCTGCCTAAAATGGTTACCAGGTAAAGATCTGGGAAGCAATGGCTCCCAGCATGATGCGCTGACCACATCACCCACCCTTCCCCCCAACCCCATTGGAGTGGTAACAGATGGGACAGACAGGGTTCATAACCCGAGTAGATAGAATTACAATAACAACTGGGGCACATATTATTGTCTAAACATTACTACTTGAACAATGTTTACCAAAGAGACCAGCAGCATTGTTTCAATTTCTTTCTGAAGAGCCACCAGTGCGCTGGACTCCTGTGATACATGATCCCTTGTATTCACGTAAAGACATCTTTTGTCAGAAAATTATACCACATCCTGTTTCTTTTTTTTTTTCAATTCCTAGTTTACCAGTTCTGGTGCTGAGGGAAATATATGGTCTTCTTACTCTTTTGGCTGTCTTAACCACAAACACACTGTGCTGCTGTACAGTTTCCACTGATGTTATCTTTCCAAGTTGTTTTTGGTCTACATCGTCTCTGCATCCCTCTCGTCTTCTGATGTATGCCATGTATGGTATAACAACAGTTTCCGCTGATGTTATCTTTCCAAGTTGTTTTTGGTCTACATCGTTCTTTGCATCCCTCTCGTCTTTGATGTATGCCATGTATGGTATGGTGTCACAAAGGCATTCTTTCTAAGTGAGTGAGCCATTTTATTAGCACTGTATTTAATTTAGCAGTGGTTCTGAGTCAACCTTTTCTCTTATGACTTTGTTCCTGCTTTTATCTAATCTGGTCACTCCTGCAGCCTTTCTCAAACAAATTTCCATGGTTTATAATTTTCTTGTCTGGTTTATTGTGACTGACTAATTCTGGCACTGATAGCTTGGGTGGGAGAGTGAGTATGCTTTATATGAAATGTTTCTATTACTACTGTTCAGGACTGTCTCATGGTCTAACTACACACTGCTACAATAACTTTATCAAGCTTTGCAAGAAAATCTATAGACCACACCCAGTAAAACTGTGTACATTTTTTAATCCTTTCATACTGTAAAAGTAAAAAAAGAACCTTTTTTCCACGCCTTTAGGCGTATAGGGTATTCAGGGCTAGACCTATATTTTTTATAGACCAATCGGCACAAGATAGGTGATGTTGTCAGCATCACACCGGCCGCCTCCTTTTATACTGAGATACCGAAAATCTAGCTTTGTTGTCTGTTACAAATCCCTGGGATGGAATTAAACCCTCTTAGCACGGACGGGCCGATTATCGGCCGGCGGATGTCTGGCCAAAAACACGGAACGGCCGATCATCGGCCCGATCGTGTTTCGCCTCGAACCGCTAAGTAATCTCCTATTTTAAAATGCTGAAAGTGATTCATTTATATCAACTGCTGTATCAGCTTTACACATGGCGACTTTCGAGTGTTTGGTATCGAAGTGAAAATTGTTGTTGAATTTTTTAGATAGTGACCTGAACCGCTAAAAGTATGTCTGACTCGTATGTTTCTGCCCCTAAACTTGATGTTGATAAAACATTTGAATCAAGTGATGACACTAATTCTGTTGATACTGATGCAGGATTTAGTGTTAGTAGTAATAGTGGGAATCAGATGGGGACGCTGTTGTGTTCAGACCACAGCCCAACCATGGTTCAGGGTATATCCACCCGAAGGTGTTGACACTCCAGCACATCCATTTCTTGTGCTGACTGATGGTGAAAAACACATGTCACCTAAAGATATTATTGCTGTTTCATATATATATATATATATATACCTGTTTTTGACTATTGAATTGCTTACAACATTTGCAAAAAGGCCAAAAATCAATAAAAAGATTTCAGAAAAAAAAATTTTTGTTTTTAGTTTTATGTTTCAAGCATTGAAGTTGAAAATTCAAATTCATATTTTCTATTTTTAGATATGCAAATGAGATAATTTGCATATACATTCATTAATTTTAACGATATTGTGAAAATCATGAACTTCAATCTATATCCTTCAAATAGATATATCATTTCATGGGGGTCAGAATAACAGAAATCTGTCAAAAAAATTAAATAAAGTAATAACCAAATTCACTGAAAAAATGCTCTGTGTTTTTGGCTAGACCTCTGAAAAACTTCCCGTGCTAAAAGGGTTAATTAGCTTTTCTGCACTGGCCAGTTCCTTGAAAATCCTATGATCAGCTCTGATATTGCTTGTACCTTTGCAGTGTTTAGAACGACTGGATATCACCAGTTATTTAAAATAGCAAATGGAGTGTTTTATTGTGAAAAAATGGCTCTTTTTAGTAACTGTGACAACATAACTGGCCATCAGTGGTCATACAGAGATAGGGTCATGGCACATAACATATTTCTAGGACTAAGGGAATGTATACTGTTAATTTTCAGCCCTGCTCATGTTCATGGTTTTCTCCCCTTCACAGAAGCCATTCCTCATTTAAAATGTGTCGGTGTCTGTGGCTAAGGTGTTGCGAACAAGTTTCGCAATGCCAGGGTGCTGGGTTTGATCCCAGCTGCCGGCCTTGCACCATGTGTTTGTTTCGACAGTGGTATCGAGAAGCTGACCGTCCAGAAAGCAATGGCAAACTACTGGACGTAAATTTGCCTAGAAAAACCACCACAGTAAAATAATGCTGGGATTGGTTCTGCAATGTCCTGTAAATGATTTGCAACTAACTTTTAACTTTATTTAAAATGTATATAATTAGATGTAAAAATATTTTTCAGGGACTTATATAAAATAGTTGTTTAAGAAAAAAAATTGGGGGCAGGGGGCGACCCCCCCCCCCCCTCCCCCAATGGTTTCCAAGGGTTTATAGACTAAGAGCTTTAAATAAATAAATAAACACAAATTTACTCACCCGTCCAACAAAGTCACCAACCCCTGGGTTTGGAAACGGGGCAAATTTACGGTAGATGTGGCCAATACGAGAACAGGGGGCATCAACCATAGTGCCACCACACTGCCAGATCTGTCAATTGCAATTATATCATTTACAGTGTCAGTTATTAATGTAACAACAATTCTAGTAATTGTAAATCTTCCTCAGCATTCCAAGTTCTTGAGGTTGACTGCTGCAGATATTACCCATTCAACTCTATTATCTATTTTCTCAACTCTATTATCTGTTCAACTCTATTCAACTATCTGATTGGCATTCTCTTTCCAATTGGTGGCTCCAAGGTTTCTCCACAAATTGCAGTTATAACATCTGTTCAATTAACTGCAATAATAGAACTTATATATTATATTAACTAGATATAAAATTTACTCTATAAGTTGCAATAACATATATTCTTACTATTCGGGAGGAAAAAAGTGCAGCTGCTGAAAGGAACATAATTTTGGCATAATTTTAATATGCAAAACCGTTGTAATTTAATAAGTGAAATCTTTCAAAATACACTCAAGAATACCTTAGGTTCAACCAATCAACTGACAGTTCTTTTGCACCTGGGTCTTGACAGTTTTTAGGTGTACAGTCTTGCCAGTCAAATAATAAAAATGTGCCATCAGACAAGTGAAAACTTTTTTTTTTAAACAGTACATTAATGATAATAATTTTTTCCACTAGGTCCACTATACAAGAATATAAATCCAGAAGGATACAAATCTACAAACACAAATCTAAAAAATATACAAACACTGAATTATACAAAAATAGAATGATACAAGTCATGAAGAAAGCAAACCTAAGTTGATACAAACCTCAAATGATGCAAACCCTAAAAGGTACATACCCTGAGTGATATGAGTTATGAGTTAGATTATCGTCACAGCACTCCAAACACATCCATAGGTGCTCAGATTTCCCTCTCAACATATTCATCAGCGCTGCGCGGTTAATAGTGCCTGTCCTATGTTAGTTAACAAGACTTTGTGTGCATCCGATGTGCCTGACGAGCGAGCTGTAAATGCCCATGCACTCTTATGTCCTCGTATAACGGAACCGTCTGTGAAGATCACCACATCTGTCTCATCTGAATTCTCACTGATAAGCGTGCATACCTCGTCAGTGACAGCAGCTGGATTCTGCTCCTGACAACTCCTACTGAGCGTCACGACACAGGAGAATGTTAGATTGGGGGCTTTAGACTCTGGTATCCATTCCTCACCTGGATGGATATCTGTAAGGCTGCAAACCTGTATGATGTCATCCTCTGCCCTACCCAGCCATGATTTTCCCCTTTTAAGCCTATTGCCCTTTTTCTTCAAAAGCATATGGTGCAAAGGGTGCTTCAGATCTGAGCTTATCTTGAGGTATACATGAGCCCTTCAGATCTTGATCCTGTAGTTCATGGTAGGGAAGTCAAGAAGGTACCCAATGTCTACACAAGAGGTGTCTACAGTGCACCCCATTGCTTCACTTTGCTTCACTTTGCACCTTCTCAAGTCATTCAATCTGAGTATGGCTGACAGTGATGTTGTCTAAAATATATTCAATGGGGAAAAGTACAAGTCCCTGGAACAGAAGCAGAAGCAGTCTCTGCTCAGTGTTAGCGGCAGCCAGGACCCTCATTGCTGACAGGCCTTTGCATGCTTTTGTTATGACATGGTCAACATGTTCTTTGAAGGAAAGGCTGCGATCAAACCTCACTCCGACCTGCTTTCCACTGCTGGTAAGTCTGCCTTCACTATTTGCGTGTTCAAGGAGAACCACATTACTGAGGCCTTCAAAGGGTTGACATGAGCATTAAAATCTGCACAATTGGCAATCTCTTGACGATCTTTTCCATGTCGATATACCAAGATGTCATCAGCAAATAACAAGGTCCTGCCACTCCCTCAGTTATCAGCACTGTGTACATTGAGTGACATAAACCTTGAATGATCCAAACCTTGAATGATACAAACCTTAAATGGCACAAACCCAGAATGGTACAGAACTTAAATGACATACACCTAGAATGAAACAAACGTAGAATGGTACAAAATCTTGAATGATACAACTCTAGAATGATACCAACCTTAAAGGACAGCTCATACTGTTCTCCACCCCAGATATCCAGGCCAGGGTCATAGCCCCCCAGCTCCCAGAACCAATCCCTACTGATGGCAAACAGTCCTCCTGCCATGACAGGATTCCTGCAAACAGTCGTTGGCATAATACAGACTATTATGGACCCTCAAGGCACATACCAATAGGGTCAAAGACACAAGGGTTACCCCCCCCCCCCCCCCCCAATGAAAAACATGGATTAGAGAGTAAAGTGAGGGGAAACAAACTGGGAAGACAAGGTGTGAGCTAAATGTTAAAACTTCTGAAAATCAGCTTTTTTGCCCTCAGCTTTCACATATGGCTTTAAAAAAAAAATGACTAGCCACCAGCCGAGAGTATCACACAGAGCAGCAACGTAGTTCCAGAAATGATCCCAAGGCATCTCTGTAAAATCTGCATTCACGAACTCAATGACATGTCCATGAAATGAATCCATGGGCATAAGGCAAAAGGCCTGACCACTGCCATGGGGTGAACCACACCTAAACAATGTGACGACTTGCCGTGAGCAGGTTGTGAGACCCTGCTTCACTGGAGGATAAAGGGCAGAAAGGGAAGAGTAAGAGGAGGAGGAGAAGAAGAAGAAAAAGTACAAATAAAAAAAGAAACAGAAGCTGTCCTACAAAATTCTCCATATATTTCAATACGATAATGGCAGTCAAACACAGACATCCCTGTGTGAGTTCCGGGGCCCACTGCCGGGGGAAAAAAAAAGAACAGAATCACTGCCCCCACCCCTAGCAAGCATGACGTAGGAGCTGACTAATTGGGGACTTCCTTCAAAGTCATAGTGCATCTGCCCGAGCTGCAAGAAACAACCAACTGCATAGAAATAAACAGTAAAACGGATGTACACGCAAAACTCAGTCCAAATGGATGAACAAGCAGGACTTTCCACTGGAGCTTACAGCCGGTGACCAAAGAAGCAGAGAAGAAGAAGAAGAAGAAACACAGACAAAAATAAGACTCATGGCTGTCAAACCTAATCCTACAGTTAGATGATGTAGTCAGCACTGTGCTGGCCACTTTCACCTGCCAAAGAAGTTCCTGGTAACTAAGACTGGGTCAAGCTGTCTTGTATCCATCTTCCCGGTGGTTGACCCCTGCCTCGCTTTCCACTGCACCCTCCATCATAGTTTTTTTCTCCAAGCAACCATAATATTTTATGCTGCCAAAAACTTCAACATTCGGGACAAAATGCTGTTTATAAGCCCTTTATCCTTGATGTTTAACTCACGTTGTCAAAGTTTTTTCTTTTTCTTGATCAAGTGACTACCTGAAAAGTTGACTAAATAGCGGTATATCCTTTAAAGTCAGAGTGCAGCTGCCTGAGTGGTAAGGAACTAACAGTCTGCATACAAATAAGCCAGATCTGTAAAATAGATGTGCAGGCAAACTCAAGTTCTGGAACAAAACAAAAGTCCAGAATTAGACAAACAACCAGAACTTTCCACCGGAGTTTACAGCCAGTCAATGTCCAGAAGAAGAAATAAGAAAATAGTAAACACCTGCATAAATAAGCACAGTACGCCATGGGTGAGGACATCATCACAGCCTCTGGACAGATACCCAGGTGTTTTGATGTTTGAGGATTTCTGTGGTGAAGACATCAAGTCATCTACCCAACACTCTGAAGGTCAGAGGTTTGTTTCATGGACGCACAGTTCAATTCACAATTTTTTATGGAGATCTCTGGGGACTGCCACTGCAGCTTCGCACTTTACACGGCATCAGCAGTCAGCCAACTTATCAGCCACTTTGGCGAGAAGTTAACGCAGATAAGACAATACCAATACAACTTACGCAAAGGGCTCAGCAGGATGCTTCAAGTCCTCCTCTAGCAAAGGCAGCCGTTTGTAAAAGAGCTCCCAGTCAAACGCTCCCCTGGCACCTTCATCTTGGGCTCGGTAGGCAAAGTTTTCATAATCAATTACATCAATGAATGGACACACTACTGTTCTGTAGTTTTCTGCAATTGGTTCTGAAATAAAATCAATTTTTCCTTTACAATAACATTTTTAGTGGTGAATCTTTAAGTTGAATTTTGTTCATCTTTGTCTTCTTCTTCTTCTGCTTTTTCTTCGCATTCACCAGCTGTAAACTCTAGTGGAAAGGTCTGAGTGTTCATCCACTTCTGGACTTTAGCCTTGTTCAGAACCTGAGTTTTGTGTGCATATCAGTTTTACAGATCTGGCTAATTTGTATGCAGACTGTTGGTTCCTCATCTCTCAGGCAGATGCACTCCCTTTCCATAGAAAACAACAAGGCTTGACAGGAGGTAATGGATCTATTCTTTTTTTTTCCCGCAATGAGGTCCCAGAATCCCAACAGGAAATTTTTAGTATTGACACTGTTGAAATTTTAGTGCCAAAACCTTGCGGTTGACATTTTAATTTTGGATCTTTAATGGTGAATGTTTAATGTTGAATTTTTAGTGTTCAATCTTTAATATTATCACTTTTGTGGTAAATCTTTAATGCTGAAACTTAAGCATTGAGATTTTAGTGCCAAAACTTAATTTTAACACACACAAAAACAAACACAATTTGGAAATGAAATGACAGGTCAAAAACATTCAAGTCACTGAGAGAAGATTAAAAAAACATTTATCATTTAAGAAGAAAGAAAAACCACAGCTAGATTGAATCCAACCTGCTGAAAGGGCACAGGCAAGCTTGTCTCACCTAGCAGTGGTGGCAGGAAATTGATGCTGCATTCAATATGTGAATCCAAGAAAATTAGAACTTCTGCGGTTGCTCTCCTGGCTCCCAAGAGCCTTGTTCTAATGAGTCCTTCACGCTTCTCTGCTCTCACTACAAACACATTTGTGAAGTGCTCCTTCACGTAGTCATCCAGGGGCTGCTTACACTCATCTGCAAACACAGGGACAACTGTTAGTAGTAAAAGTTTGCTGTACACATACTTCATGACATCATAAACTTACCCCAGCATGTATTAGTAGTATCTGCTTATTTGTGTGCAGACTGCTAGTTCCTTGCATCTCAGGCAAATGCACTCCCACTTCGGAGGAAAAGTCCCTAATTAGTCAGCTTTTATGACATGCTTGATAAGGAGGCAGTGAATATATTCATTTCCCCCTAAGTGGTGGCCCAGAATTCACACGCAGAGAAACATGTGATTTAAGCAAATTCCTATTTAGCTTCCTTTGACTACATGCTTGTTAAAGAGCAGTGGCTCAACTCTTGTGTCCCTAAAATAGAACCCCTTAGCAGTCGTAAATCCTGGGAAGGCCACCTGGGCAACAAATGCTGAATATAACACAAAATATGACTAGAAAACTCAAGGAAGGGGATGGAAATGATGAACATAAACTTAACCGAACGTTTCGACCCGTCTTTATCAAATAGAGCACAAAATACAGCACAAACTGTGACTAGAAAACTCAGCAGGCAAGACAACAGAGCTAATAAAAAACCAAGGTCAACATGAAACCAAGAAGTACGTAATAAGGTAAAAGTATGAATAATTAGGCTATAATACGAAATGAAATAAGTATGATGGCATATGTGTAAAGAATGGAAGACATACGAATAAGTAAAATAAATGAACAAGTAAATAAACCAATTAAATAAAATAAAGCTGTGTTGGATATGGATTCCTCCAGGACTAAGAATGCCAAAACTAAGGATAAAACTACTTTCTAATGAGTAGCAGCTGGTTTGATCACCAGAGCAAGATTTAATAGCAGTGACTGAGATATCGTTTCCACCTTGGTGGTCAGAACTGTTGAAATGGAGGGAGACAGGTTTGAGAGCTTTATTCTGAATGTCAGCAAGATGTTCACAGAAGCGATCTGCTAGCTTCCTACAGGTTTCCCTAATATATGCCTTTTACATCTTTTGCAGATGGTGGCATAAATTTGGTTATGCGATTCACAATAAAATGCTTTTCTGATGTGAAATCAACTCTTCAGGAAGCAGACCGAAGGGGTTTGGATTACAAATGGACATGTTTTATATTTTGATAAGGAGGTGATTCAGTGGAGGTAGTGATTCACACATTATGCACTGTCTGGGCCTGAGGGAAATAAGAGACAACAGGAGGAGGGCTGGTATGCAACTGACTGCCTTATTCTATACAAAAAGAGACTGGTCTGATTCTGTTGATGTCATCTGCTGTTTTGAGAGATTAAGGTCAGAAGAAGAAACTCTCTTGTGTAGATTCAGGTGCCCCTTGAGAAAGAAAAAAGAAGACACTGCTTCCTTAACATGCATGTTGTAAAAGGTGACTAACTGGGGTTTTCTTTTGAACTCAGAGTGCATCTGCCTTGTAGGCTAGGAACCAACCGTCTGCACACAAATCAGCTGGATCTGTAAATCAGATGTGCAGGTAAAACTCAAGTGCTTGACAAGACTACAGTCCAGAAGTGGACTAACAACCATAACTTTCCACTGGAGTTTTCAGACAGTTAATGCTAAGAAGAAAAGAAGAAACTGTAAAGGACCCTTTTCTCCCCTCCTTTAGGCTTATCAGGTGTATAGCGCTTCCGGTTAAAATTGACGCTAGACAGCGGCGCTGTTTTCGATAGGCAAATTTTTTTGCACTGCTGAACGTGAAGTATTTTTGCTCTATTTGTAGACTGGATATAGTTTTTCGTCGCCCAGCTTCTGAGTTGAATGACTTGGCGTGACCCTGTGAGGCAGATTGCATTTGGAATACCTTCGACTACCAACGTATGTTTGTTAATTGTAGATTCAGAAAATGGCGTGATGCCTGTGCAATGTTGTCAGCCCGTAGTTAATTGATCGCGTGGACAAAAAAGTCTAGCTCTCATCAATGATGAACTGCATTCTAATGTTGGACTGTTTGTGTTACAACCTTCGCATCTGCTTTAATAAAGCCTAGATATGCTGAGACAGCAGTCTGTCAATCTTTCCACAAAGGACTGTGATAAACATTCTGGGTGTTTTTCGTTGGCACAGAAGCGGAGCAAAGATGGGGCAACCCATTGCTATGAAGCTGAAACTAAGACTACCAGACTACCAGACATAGTGCTAGACCTATATTTTCATACCAATCGGCCTCCAATATAACACCAATCCCCCCCCTTTACCTGGTACTAATTTAAAGCTCAGTTGGTCTGGGAGCGACACACAAAAAAGTCTAGCCTGTTCCCACAATCTTCCATCTGCATACCCCGCTTTTTATGGCCCCCTGAAGAGACGTATTTGAAACAGGAAAACATATTTCTTCCCCCCCCTACTGCAGCCTACCCCCTTAGACTTATGATAGGACATATTCCCTGGGCAGCCACTTACTTCTAGGATTTTCCTGGGAGCCAATGTCTATTATTATAATAATCTGCCACAATGTGAATTTGAACCCAAGACCTTTAGTCCAATCAGACAAATACTTTTCAGTCCTATATTTTTTTAAACAAAAATATTATTTGTTTTCAATAGGCACTGCCAAGAAATTCTAACCACCTGCTGTATTGTAGAATGAAAAATTATGAAGACACCTCTGTGTTTGCCAGATTTATTCACTACAAACTGACCAAAACCTAAAATATAAGAAGAAAAATAAACCACGAGAACTTACAGCTTTTGAACATGAAGAAGAAGAAGAAGAAGAAGAAGAAGAAGAAGAAGAAGAAGAAGAAGAAGAAGAAGAAGAAGAAGAAGAGGAAGATAAGAAGACACTTGATGTGATGTTTGAGACATGTGGGAAAGTAGTCAGTAACACATCAAGCATTGTTTGGGGCTGAAAGAGTTAACCACAGTGCTATGTTACCACCTGCCCCCAGGCCTCTTGAATAATGTAACCCCATACATAATCACTTCAAATGCACTGTCATAAAAGTCTAACAGGCCTAAGAAGGAAAGTACTTATTTTGTGACAGTAATGAAATCCCAGAACTGGTTGGTTTCTTTTTGTTCAATAGCATAGGGGTGTTAGAGTGTGACATGAACACTTACTAACACTAACCTTAACCCCCATTATAATACTGGACTTTCCCGGGTACTCCCCATGAAATTTTAGAGTCCCGGAGATAGGGTGAGCAAAAAGTATCCCGGCTCTGCAGCTGCCTCCTGCTAACTTCTAAAGGCATAGCCTGTGATCAATGACAGGCTCAATATATAAGAGTGGGGTTAAACAGTCGGGAGCAGGACATGACAATTCTCTAAGTGAGCCCAGTACCACAGCACCAAGTACTGGCTCTGCTTTTATGGAAGCCCCCTTGGAAGGTGGGAATGTTCATGTTCTACCCCTGCCTTCTCTTGAGGGCTGCCTAGCATTATGTGGCTGCTCTGGACCAGTCTGAGGGGGCGCACTACCTATGAACCATGATACAAAGATCACCACACAACAATGAGACAGCACACTGTCCCACAAAACCAGGAAAGCTAAACCAGAAAACAAATGCCTGCAGAAGTTCGGTGTGTTGGACTAAAGGCGCAAATATGGCAAACATGTTGCAAACTGGCACATCACATTTACATCTCAGAAGAACATAGAATAACACAGAAGAATACTGAAGAAAAAGACTTCAAATGCCATTATTATGGCTGGTTAAAATGAACAGCTGGACTCACCGTGGGTGCTATGGTCGTCAGCCAAAATTATCTCTTTGACCAACTCCTTAGGGGCTCTGTTGAGGATGCTGTACACTGACCTTAACAAAGTGGACAGGTGTTCGTTGTGGAAGGGAATGATGAAACTGGCAGTTGGCAGGTACTTCAAATAATGCTTCTTTTGGCAACTGGAATGGAAAAACCAAAAAACTCATACAAGGACAATTTAACTAGATACATAAATTATGTTTAAATGTGTGTATGCCAAACTAACAGATATGTTGTAAAAGTAAACTAATAAGGGTGTTTTCTTCCAAGTTTCAGTGTACCTGCCTGAGAGGAAAAAAATCCAACAGTCTGCACACAAAAAAGGTACCTGACTGAGAGGTAAAAAAACCAACAGTCTGCATATAAATAAACTAGATTTATGAAATGGATGTGCAATGCATGCAGAACTCAAGTTCTGGAACAGGACTCAATTCCAGAAGTGGACAAATGATTTCCTCGGATAGTGAGGAATGAATGGCCTCGCTATCAAAGATGACATACAATTAAGGGTTTGAACATAACTTTCATCCACTATAATATATGTCAACATAACTTTCATCCACTATTATATATGTCTTTATTGTTGTTGAACATGAATGGAGAGAGCAAGGAGGATCTCAGCTCAATCGCACATACTTCATCACAAGAGCAAGAATCAATTTTCACAACAGAACTTATCCATGCCATAGTCTTTCCATTTCCATGCCACAGGTAAGACTGGGCATTGACTGGATGCAAGAACATCCAGTCTGGAGATATAGCAACAGACATGGCTATGAATCCCTGTCCAGGTTAGTTGATATGGGGATGCAACCCGGAGCTGCCAGACACAAACTTTTCACTAAAGGTATAAGATGTTTGATTAATCAACACAGTGCAATCAGTCACTGTATGCTTGTGAAGCTATTGAGAAGGAGATCAGAGGATATATGAATCTATGAGGAGAACTAAGATGAAAGTCCTCACTAGCCCCTAATCCATAGTATAAAATCAAGGCTGTAACAAGCACGATGGAGTTGAATAGGACACACATTGAGAAAACCGGAGAACAATATAACTAGAATGTCTTTGCACTGGAACCCACAGGAGCATAATAATAAAGAAAGGGACTAATAAATGTCGCCTTCCAAGCTTTGCTAAGGAGGCTCATTTACAAGGGGGCCTGCTGTCTTTCTTACCTCTGCTAACTTTTTAGAATGTAAAGCAATGAGCATAGTTGCTAAAAAAAAGCTCTTTAGTTAAGAGCTCCGATTTGGAAAATGGCTTTATTCATATGAATCAGGAAGACAGAATTACCCATTAGTTACTGTGGTACTGTGGTCAGGTCTTAGGGTCCAGAACGGGTCATGCTAAATATTTTTTTTAAAGCTCAGAAAGAAGTAACTCAGTAAAATCCCAGCCGGATTCGTGTTTACTGATTACTCTTGTTATTTTGTATGTAATGAAATAATGATTCGGTGCATAAATGGAACTGATATGATCTTTGTGTGTGACACGTGCAAAATGGTTGTTCTGTTAAAGAAATATTTTCTTGGGAGAAAAAAATTAAATTAAAACAATACAGCTCTTTATCCTTGTTTGTCTAGGTGAGCAATGCTAAAGGATTCAAAAGGAACTGTCACTCACTCTGAATGTCTAATGTCCTTCACAGATCTCTGCAAAGAAATCCCATCACTAGCCAAAGCATTGAAACCATTTGCTCTGTACAGCTCATTCTTGCGACTCTCCTCATCTGCACTCATAATGTATGCTTGCCCTTGCTCTCCAGGCCCTGCAAACATAAACACCCTCACTTGTTAAAATAAACCTTAATTCAGTGAGCCGCGACCTCTTCACAGAGTCACCGCGAAATATTCTAAAAGCTTCATAATTAATTAAAACAAGACATGAATAGACATACTTTTACATAGGTTACGGCGCTGCGGAAAATTTTTTATGGAAAAAAGGCGCCGCGACCAAGACAAGTTTGGGAAACACTGCGTTAATTTATTGGGGGTTTCAAATGAAAACTTGAAAAGTGTGATAGAAATTAGAATATCTACACCACTGTCTTTTAACTTATCAATATTGTTGTTAAGGATATCAAGAATGTTAGGCATGTGACATTATGGTGTAGACAAACAGGGTGATGTCATAATGACAGTTTAATGATGGCAACCCCACTTCTGACATGCACCAAAGAGGAGCAGACACTTGGCAGTATCGAAGCACATCATGAATGACATGGTCTGCTGAACCGTGACAGATGCCGTGATTTACAGCAATGTCTGTCACAGTCAATCGGCGGCTTTCCTGTACGAGGCCTTCAATAGCTGCAATTGACTCTGGGGTCACTTTTTGGTGAGCCTGAACAAATCATGAACAGTCTGTCACAAAAGTCTTGCCTATAGAAACTTCATACTCCAAACATAAACTTGCTGGATTGACAGGCATGCATCATCATACGGGGCCTTCACTTACCAATCCATTTTTTATAGATTTCACCCCAACGATGCAGATCTGAACTAAAAACCTTTAGGTCAGAAGGCAAATGCTCCAGCCACTGCACTCTGCAGCTCCACACAGAAACATGGACAGAGGGAAAAGTAACACAAAGATTTCTTGAAAGCAATTAACTCACAAAAAGAAGTAATTACACAATCAAAACAAGACAACTCTCATTGTCTGGGCATGTCATGACAACAGAAAAGCTAGAGGAAGAGACACAGCTGAGTTGAGTAAAAACCTAACATCATAACACTCGGGTCATTCCCATAATTGCTCTGGCCCCATTTTCAGCAGCCAGCATAGCATTCCAATTCTGATTGTACCTGTAGCAGTCTGCTTGTAAGCCCATCTTGCCTTTTCTTGTGAGTGTTGAGTGTTGGCCAAATCCTCAGTTCACTCCCCACTGCCCCATTCTCTGTAGACTGTGACAATCTGTTTGTGCTCCTCATTGTTCACTTGTTGCCAGATTACCTTGATAACATCCAGCTTGTCACACATCAATTTACCACCAAGTGGTGCAAAACCAGCCAGTTTGTCTGTTCATGTGACAAATATTCAAAAGACACTAACTTTCTAGAACCTCTGAAACGATGCTTTGCTAATCTGCACAGAGCTTGACTGTCTCCGCCTGCCTCAGCAGACTTTGTGAGTCTACAACAATCATAACATGTGTGTTCAGCTGGTTCCCAAGCCAGTGAAAGGCTGCAGGAACTGTCTGCAGCTCTATTCTCAAACTAGATGTGGTATGTGTGAAGCTGGTTCCTAAGCCAGTGAAAGGCTGCAGGAACTGTCTGCAGCTCCATTCTCAAACTAGATGTGGTATGTGTGAAGCTGGTTCCCAAGCCAGTGAAAGGCTGCAGGAACTGTCTGCAGCTCTATTCTCCAACTAGATGTGGTATGTGTGAAGCTGGTTCCCAAGCAAGAGAAAGGCTGCAGGAACTGGCTCCATTCTCAAACTAGATGTGGTATGTGTGAAGCTGGTTTCCAAGCTAGAGAAAGGCTGCAGGAACTGTCTGCAGCTCTATTCTCCAACTAGATGTGGCATGTGTGAAGCTGGTTCCTAAGCCAGTGAAAGGCTGCAGGAACTGTCTGCAGCTCCATTCTCAAACTAGATGTGGTATGTGTGAAGCTGGTTCCCAAGCTAGAGAAAGGCTGCAGGAACTGTCTGCAGCTCTATTCTCCAACTAGATGTGGTATGTGTGAAGCTGGTTCCCAAGCCAGAGAAAGGCTGCAGGAACTGACTCCATTCTCAAACTAGATGTGGTATGTGTGAAGCTGGTTCCCAAGCTAGAGAAAGGCTAAAGGAACTGACTCCATTCTCAAACTAGATGTGGTATGTGTGAAGCTGGTTCCCAAGCCAGAGAAAGGCTGCAGGAACTGTCTGCAGCTCCATTCTCAAACTAGATGTGGTATGTGTGAAGCTGGTTCCCAACCCAGAGAGAAAGGCTGCAGGAACTGTCTGCAGCTCCATTCTCAAACTAGATGTGGTATGTGTGAAGCTGGCTCCCAAGCTAGAGAAAGGATGCAGGAACTGTCTGCAGCTCCATTCTCAAACTAGATGTGGTATGTGTGAAGCTGGTTCCCAAGCTAGAGAAAGGCTGCAGGAACTGTCTGCAGCTCCATTCTCAAACTAGATGTGGTATGTGTGAAGCTGGTTCCCAAGCTAGAGAAAGGCTGCAGGAACTGGCTCCATTCTCAAACTAGATGTGGTATGTGTGAAGCTGGTTCCCAAGCTAGAGAAAGGCTGCAGGAACTGGCTCCATTCTCAAACTAGATGTGGTATGCCAGGCTTTCTTGCACTAAGGTTTACATGAAGAATTAATCAACAAACAAATAAAACATAAATTGTGCACATATCAAACGATCAACTTTAGAATAAGCCTGGTTGGTTTTTGATTAAAACACAGTATCTTACCTTGTCTCTGTTTCTCAGCTTCAATAGATTTATAGTCGTGCCAATCTATCTTTTCTCTCTCTGCTCTGGTTTGCAAGAGGATGTTGTCAAACACCTGGAAAATGACAAAAGTGACATGTATCAATCTAGACAGATTAGGTCATCTACTACTACCATCTCAACTGAAACTGATGCCCATTCTCCAACTAGCTGAAAGAAGTGTTGGGAGGAAGTTGGGAGGAGGAGAAGAGGGGGGGGGGAATGTGGATGTAAGGATCCTTTATGGCTTTTTCTTTTCTCATTTTGGGGGAAAAGAACAGACCCACTGTCTCCTGCCCCCCCCCTCCCCCAGCTCAGGCCTTTGTCTCTAAAGCATGTCATAGGAGGCAACTTATTAGCGATGTTTCCTTTCAAGTCAGAGTGCATTTGCTCAAGATGTGAAAAACCAACATTCTACAAACGAATTATCCAGATCTGTCAAGCGGATGCACATGCAAAACTCAGGTTCTGTGACAAAGTCCAGAAATGGATAAACAACCAGGACTCCCTACTGGAGTTTACAGCTGGTGAACGTAAATAAAGAACAAACAAAAAAGTATTCTTCCTAATGTTGTTACCCTTTTTTTTAAATATTGTCACCCCCCCCCCCCCCCCCCCCCTTCTCTGTACACATCACAAGTCTTCAACGAGGCGCCCTGTATTAGTTCCTATCAGGGCATCTTTGTAAGATGGCATAAACATTTCATTTGTTGTGCGTAAATTCGATTAACTGCATAACTGATGTCAGTCCTACTCTTATTATAGGTGAAGTGACACTAGAACAAAACGTCCAGTAATGTATGCCAACTTCAGTGCAATTGACAAATCACATGCAAGATCCTTAGATTCACTAAAAAAGAAGAAGATGATGATGATGATAAAGGAAGAGGAAAAGGAGGAGAAGAAGAAAAATGAAAAGAAGAAAAAGAGAACGAAAGTGTAGTCTTACATTAGCAGCCATCTAAGAAAGAAAACTCGTCCCTACAACATCTATGGCCGCGCGAAAAACAAAAAGATCAAGCAAATAATAATTACATTGGCGGAATCTAAGCGAGATAAATGTACCCTACATTAGGCGTGCATCTAACAATTACCTCCCTTGTCGTTCTTGTTTTTACCGTCTTGTTTATAAAACTCAAAGAAGCAAATTATTATTATCCACACCCAACCGTCTCCCCAATGCTATCCATCGATTTTAGCCGCCGGACCATCAGGCGAAACAAGAGCCCATTATCAGATTGTCTTTCCAACTTTAAGCAGCTCTTCGGACTTCCATTAGGACGACAGAGTGTGTCCAAGACGTCTATTCGTATCGTTTATTTTAGTTATCTTTTCCATAAATATATTCCTTACGTCATTTTAAGGACGTAATTTTTTGTTATTTGAAGCCCCACTCTGGCTTTTGCCAGAGGCCGCAATATAGGCAGGCCATAAATATGGCCAATTGTCTGAAATCGGTTTCTGGGACCTCTCCACGGCGATCCTCATCAACATAGTGGCACTTTGTGTCATCGGTTGTTTATCGCTTGTGTGATGTCCTAGTGGGGTAAAAAGTCAAGTCAAGTCAAACGTTTGATTAGCTTTAACAGAAACCTTGCGCAACCACAATAGAGAAAACAAACTGCCGGCAGCGTTTCGAGAACATTCATATTGTCTCTTTCTGTTCTCCACTCACACAAATAAATAATTAATATATTTGCTTCGCTGGCCGCAAATATTCTGGAAGACAGCCACCCCCCCCCCTCCTCCCCCTCCCCTCCCTTTTTCTCCCATCGTCTCTCAGGCACACAATTAATGTAAATGGTTAACTGGCTATGAGTATTCAAGAAGACAGTTTTTCTCTCTTTGGTTGGTTAGCGGTAATGTTCAGTAAGAGAGCCTCCAATCACCCCCACCCCCTTTCCACTTTTCCATAAACCTCTCTCGGACATACAATTATGGGTCCTTCGAACGTTTTTCGCCCCAAACACACCGTGATTGGCCGTTCATTCATGCTTCGTGACCTCAGTCTACGTTCCACGGGAGAAAGCAGCCTACGTTTTACTTTTCTGAGGAGCTTAGTCGCCCCCCAAAAAATAAAAAATCATTCATGGACTAGGATGTTTAAATTCACAGAGTGACAATGTTTATTTCGTAGAATTGTGTTATGTTATCAGCGAACAAGTGTGGTGACCTACTTAAGTGTGTTCTCTTATTTTAGGTGGCTGCAAGGTGTAAACACGACACACCTTTGAATAAAATTTATAAGAAAATGGTCGGTCACCCGGGGGGGGGGGGGGGGGGGGGGGGGGGGGGATATACACAAGTAGAAACAGATTAGGATATCTGGAGAGGAGATAGGCACCACCAAGCAATCCCTTTGTCCACTGAAATGTATGATGGATAATCGACACAAGAACCCTATAGATTTGATTTGATTCAAGAACCGACATCACAGCACTCGGGGCATTCCCATAAGCGCTCCGTCCCTATCTTCAGCAGCCAGCGAAGAGTTCCGATACTAGTGATGCCAGTAGCATTCTGATTAAACGTCCGTCTTGCCTTTCCTCTGAGCCTCGAGCACCCCCCCCCCCCCTTTTGCATCAATCTCACCATACTGTGGTGATCCATCTGCTTCTCCGAACTGTACACGCTCCTCCACAAGGTACTAACCACGTTTGCCCTATCATGTATCAGTATTCCACAAAGTTGTGCAGAGCCAGCCAGTCTGTCTGACTGTTCATTTCCCAACACACCGGCGCACCCGGTGAAAAAATCTAGACAATACTCCTCACCCGTGTCCTCCGCTGCGAAGCATCCCACTCTGCGCGAAGCATACCTGTTCTGATCTTCCTCAGCATGCTTTCTGAGTCAGTTACAATCACGATGTGTGTGTGTGTCGTGTTCTCTAGCCAGCGGAAAGCTGCAGTGACCGCCTCTACCTCCATTCTTAAGCAAACCATTCAGCAAACCAAGGATGTATCGCATACACACCACAGGGGTGTCTCTGGTGCAACCCAGAATGACCCGCATAGCTGCGTTCTGTATGCGCTCTAGTTTGTCCATATGACTCTTTGAGACGGTAAGCAGTCCCAGGCCATAATCAACCACTGACAGGATCAGGTGCTGATATAGTGTAAAAAGCATTCTCTGCTCTATGTCAAACCAATAGAAACGATCATTAACACAATACACATGGCAAGGATTCGCGGGCCGGCCTCCACATGCCAAATATGACCCGCGGGTCGCCAGTTGATTAGCCCTGACTTAGAGGTTTAGTGAATGCGGTTAACAATTTCACGATCCTCGAGTACTAGATTTCGTTCTCCCGGTGGACGGTTTAAGAAAGCAGCTAGTTTTCGTGGGTTTCGGACAGTCCTGCACGAGTCGCACCGTAGAAGCGATTTGGGGTCCTCACCGTGTAATATCTCCACAGACGGCAGTAGGCTACTATACCCAGCCTTCATTGTGAAGACAATATAACTTTCGACTTCTTTGTTCAACATACGCTTAAAATAGACATAAAGTCGCAGTCTAGTCAGATGACCAGGCAAACCAGCTAAGGGCGCGCTCAATCGCTTCATATGCACCACAACTATGGATTGATCAAGTTGTCACGTGACACTGTAATACAATCCATCTTCTTCTGTGCGCTCCCCCCCCCCTCTTGGTGTTTCGTATTTCGTAGTTTTTTTGCTCTTGATGCTGGCATCGTTGGCCTAACAACTTGGAGGTGACCACACCATTTGGCACCCTCTGACTCAATTATTTAACTCATGGCGTATGGTTCCAATTAGGTCTTTGTAATCACAATAATTTACTCTTTCGATCTCTCTGGGTCTTACTCTCTCAGCCATCTCTCAAACATCTCATATTCACAGCTCTCATCTCGTGTCTTTTAGTTAATCTCCAAGTCTGACATTAGACCAATACATGCAATGTCACGTATAAAGAATGTATTTATTTACTAATCTTTTAATAGAAGACCAAAGAAACTTATATATAATACAAATATACACGCTAGTAACCACATACAAGTCTTGCGGGTTAGTAAGTCACCAGGACATCCATCTAAGAACAGCAAATAATACAATCACACCACAACACACATACCATTAAAGCATCAAATGACAATGTAATACACTACACACTGTTCTGTGTCACCCACCCCCCCCACCCTTTTTACTCTTTTTTTCGTTCGCCGACAACAGCCTATCAACTTGAAAAAGACACACACTTTGGCACCCACTCTGACTCAATTATTTCCTCATAATTTATTAGGTCACAAAACCCAATAATTTACTCTCTCTCTCTCTCTCTCTCTCTCTCTCTCTCTCTCTCTCTCTCTCTCTCACACACACACACACATACATGCAAACTCGCGTACACACTGTCTCTCATTTTCTAATCATTTAATAGAATACCAAGACCTTATAATACACATACACACACACTACCACTATAACACACACGCACACCCACAACTGTGGATCAAACCAGGACCCACATTTTGACAAACAATCACTACACTTTGTCTCTACCAAGACAACAGACAGGCTCCCAGAAATGCCTGCACCGCAGGCACATCGGTATGCTTTAACTTTATGATTAAACGCATTAAAAGTATTTTGAGAAAGTATTAAAGTGGTGTGGCGTAATAAAAAGTAATAAGTTCGTGGTATGGGTAAGTCATCAGATAAAAAGTAATAAGTTCGTGATGTGGGTAAGTCACCCGATAAAAAGTAATAAGTTCGTGGTGTGGGTAAGTCATCAGATAAAAAGTAATAAGTTCGTGGTGTGGGTAAGTCATCAGATAAAAAGTAATAAGTTCGTGGTGTGGGTAAGTCAACTGATAAAAAGTAATAAGTTCGTGTGTAGGGATAAAGTCGTAAAAAGTAAGAGTTCGTGGGTGGGTAAGACAAATAAAAGTAATAAGTTCGAAAGTCCCAGGGGCATAAAAAAGTAATAGTAATTTGGTGTGGGTAAGTCAACTGATAAAAAGTAATAAGTTCGTGGTGTGGGTAAGTCATCAGATAAAAAGTAATAAGTTCGTGGTGTGGGTAAGTCAACTGATAAAAAGTAATAAGTTCGTGGTGT